ACTTTGTTGTTTCTGACGAGAGAATTCACCAGAAAGAGGTATTCAGTCAGCGAGCGAGTGAAGAAAACACAGCATTTTAGCAATGACTCATCTGAACGCCTCTGATTGGTCATTGCATTCATAAGCTCAACAGCATCATGTGTGATTGGTTATAATGCGCAGTACTATGGCAAGCCGTTTTAGCTTAAAATATTCCCAGCATTACTTGTCGTAAATTGCATCTTAACTGGTAACAATTCAATTAGAGAGCTCTACAATTAAATTCTTACTAGTAACAATGCCAGTCAGAGAGCTCTCTAATTCAATTACTACTAGTAAGAATTCCAGTTACAGAGCTCTCTAATTCAATTCTTACTAGTAACAATTCCAATTAGACAGCTCTACAAATAAATTTTTACCAGTCATATGTCTCCACTGACTTCCATTCATTTTTAAATGCAGAGCTCTACAACTGAATTTTTACTCATAAGAATTCCAATTAGAGAGCTCTCTAATTCAATGTTTACTAGTAACAATTCCAATTAGAGAGCTCTTTAATTTAATTCTTACTAGTAAAAATGCAATTACAGAGCTCTATAATTAAATTTTTACTTAGTAAAAAAACACATTAAAGATATGTTTAATTGCAGATCTCTGTAATGGAATTAAAGAGCTCTCTAATTCAGTTCTTAAGCGGCATTTATACTTTCGCCTGGCTCCGCTCTGTGAGCCTCCGCTGATTGCGCGCACACCTTCCCAAACGGACGAGGCTTTTATACTTGTCACGTTCGCCGTTGCACTATTCTTTGAAACGACAGGGGGCAACAAGGAGTAATTGTCCTCTAAAACCATCGGGAATCACCGGTGAGAAGAAGTCATTTGCCGGTACAAGTCTTCTCGTGTGATAAATGAGTTGATGAATTAATAATTTCTTTATGTACAAACTTAAAACAATCTTAAACTATTGGCTTTATTTCACATCAAGCACAAGACAACTTTAAGCAAATAGTGTATAATTAGTATCTAAATGAATTCTAATTCTATTTTTATACAATAAAAATAAAACGTACTTAAAATACAAAGCCTTGGACAAACGACGCAAAAACAAAAAAAACTATGCATTGTTTTCCGTCAAGGCATCAAAAAGTGCCTGATGGAGGTTGAACTTCACATTAAACCGTTTCTGTTTCACACAAATGCCGGCACAGACGTGCATGTTCGGCTAGAATCGCCCTGAACTCGTACATCTTCGGATGCGGAGCTGCGCGGAAAGTTACAAAAAAATGCCGTGCACAACGCCACACGAAATGAGTTCGCGTGCACTCAAAGCAAACTTCCGGCAACACCGCGATGACATCATATTTGCCGTGTGCACCCAATCGAACTTGCGGACGCGTCGAGTATAAATCAGCCTTTACTAGTAACAATTGAATTAGACAGCTCTCTAAATAGAATTCTTACTAGTAAAAACGAAACTAGAGAGCTATCGAATTGTAATTCTTACCAGAGCATGTGAGTGGAGCGGAGCGTGAGCTGAGCGGGGAGCGGAGTGGTAATATTTCCTTAAGAGCGCCTTTCTGAAGATTCCGCTCCGCTCGCTCAATACGCTCAGCGCCACTCGCTCAACCCAGAATGTCGTTTGGTGATTTGCTTGTTCGAGATCGAGAATCTGTAGAGATCGAGAATAGTAGAGCAGTTATGGAGTTCAGATATTGTTTCAACGAAGTTGCAAGCCTTATACATAAATGTAAAGTAAAAATCAAAGTTAAGAATGAGCAGGGAGAAGAAACTGAGAGGGAGTGCGGGGAGACTGTTAAAGTTAGTACAGATTCATAATGATTACAGAGAGCACGAAGATGTGCTACGCAAACATGGTGCAGCAAAAGGTGAGCTAGTTACATACCATAATAAATTAATAAACAGGTAGGCTAAGGTTATATTCGGTTGTACGGAGCCCCGATCATGACATGTAGACAAAATCACGGCCATGAATTTAGAATAGGCTAGTTATGGCCACGAATTAAGAATTAATTTTTTCGTTTAGTCTAAATTATGGCCACGAATTAAGTATTCGTTCTCTTGTTTAGACTTAGCTGGCACGAATTCATTCGTTCGTTAATTCGTTCATTCCCTAGTTTTAGTAGGCCTAAATCGTGGAATTAATTATTATATTTCGTAATTACTTATTAAAATCATTATTGCTTAAAATTTATAAATAATAATAAATTAATAAAAAAAATAATAAAACCTCCTGACGTCGTAGAAACAAATTGTTAATTCAAATTATATTCGGACCTCCGTAGTTATTAAATAATCTCAGTTAAACTGTAGACCTAAGCTAACACACAGCTGTATATAGGCCTACATACAGAACTACAGAGTACAGAAGATATTAGCCTACACCACTTAGGCCTATTAAAATATTATTTAAAATAAAAAAAACTGACCTGAACCAATAGGTAGTCCTACAGAACGTAGGCTAGATATAGGCAGCAGTAATTTATAATCTAATATATTGCACGCAAATTTGTTCTTTACAGAACGGAGCGGGATCTGAGCGGGAATTGGTTTACGGCGAGCGTGAGCGGAATATTAACGGAGCGCTTGCTTGGGCGGTTAGAGCGACTGAGTGGAGCGCACGTCCATAGAGCGGAAAACGTAGCGGAGCATCACACCGCTCCGCTTCGCTCACATGCTCTGATTCTTACTAGTAAGAATTGAATTGTAGAGCTCTGTAATTCAATTGTTACTAGTAAGAATGCAATTGCAGAGCTCTCTAATTCAATTGTTACTATTAACAATTGCATTAAAGAGCTCTATCATTGTAATTCTTACTAGTAAGAATTTAATTGTAGAGCTCTAATTCAATTGTTACTAGTAAGAATGCAATTGCAGAGCTCTCTTATTCAATTAGAGAGCTCCCTAATTCAATTGTTACTATTAAAAACTGCATTAAAGAGCGCTATAATTGTAATTCTTACTAGTAAGAATTTAATTGTAGAGCTCTCTAATTGAATTCCTACTAGTAAGAATGCAATTGCAGAGCTCTCTAATTCAATTAGAGAGCTCCCTTATTGTAATTATACCTAGTAAAAATAGATTTAGAGAGCTCTCTAATTGGCATTATTATAGTAAGAATTTAATTGTAGAGCTCTCTAATTGAATTGTTACTAGTTAAAATGCAATTACGACGAGTAACGCTTGGAATATTTTAAGCTAAAACGGCATGCCATACAGTAGGCCTACTGTAAAAACGCGTCTGTATCTGGCTCAGCGCCAGCCAGCGAACGAAGCAGATTTGAATTTAGCAGCTGATGATATGATGCACTGAACGTTCTAATCACGCCGGTGTGATTGTATTAAATATAGAAAATATTAATCGGCTATTTTTTGTCTTTTGGAAGCTGCATTCAAAATCCACTTGGATCAAAAATCTGAGGGGCATGTGCCCCCTCACTTTGAATGGGCATGACGCCTCTGCTGCCAAATATCTCACGGCATCTGGGATAAATAACGGGGAAAACCCAGGTCATGATCCTGAATAGACTTGCGACAGTGCGCGTCAAACGTTGCCGCTGTGATGAAAGCTCTTATGGAGGTGGTTTGGGCGTGTTTTATACTAATTACTTACCTCAGGCACCCGGTCGCTCATTTAGAATACTCAAAAAGCATTAATAGAACGGGGTTAAGAGCAATTACGTGCTTAATACACACGTGTTGTGATTTAGGATTTTTTTCGAGCGAAGTTCTCCTCAGCGTATAAAGACAAATAAGCTACATAGGTGTAGTCTTTAGTTAATGATACCCACTTTGTTTTTTTGTACGTTTAAATGTGCTCTTATTCAAGACGCTCATTTGCAGCTTATCATGGAAGTAAAACTTTTACCGGCTTGTTTTGTTATGTTTCTGCTATGGGGTAAGACTCATCTATTGGACTACTTTTTTTTTTTTTAACACGTTAAAGTAGTTTAATAAACACGTATTTTTTGTTATTTAAATTGAACATTAATTCGTTTCCAATATAAAGATCTGAAAAATGCAACTTTTATATTTTGGAGTGTTGTTTTTATACAATTATTTAAAATATGATAATGGCTTTAATGTAAACGGGAGGAAGTATTTTGAGAAATAATGAAAGTGGTATAAATTAAACATTTATTTCAATTATTATAAAGATTTGAAAAGTGCAACTGCATCTATATTTCTTTATTTGCAGTTAATTTTCTTTCTCTCTCTTTCTTGACTTCCTGAAGATGGCGCCCAGGCTCGATCTGCAGGACAAGAGTTTGCCACTGTGTTCATGCAAAACTATGTTTTCCCTTTGAACCAGTCACTTTTTCAGCTTTATATCACCTCTGTGAATTCTAATTGTCAAGTCAAAGTCAACGTGCCCAGTCTCAGTTTTACCCAGGAGGTGCAACTGACTGCAGGTCAGGGCTTCACCGTGACCCTCCCTGTACAGGTCGAGCTGTATGGCACCAGGAGGTCCCCCAAAACTGTCCTCATTCAGGCATCTGATGACATAACGGTTTTCTCACTAAACTCAAAAGAACACACGGCAGATACATCCCTGGTCTACCCCATGAGTGAATGGGGTACTGAATATTTTGTGTTCACCCCCACCAACTCCCCTCCATCCATGCTGAAGGAGTTTGTGCTTGTCAACGGTAAAGAGCGGAACACGGTGGAAGTGTTCCTTAAAGCGGCGGTCCGGTTCGAAGGTCACTCGTACGGTGTCGGCAGTAAACTAGTTGTAGTCCTGGACCCTTTCGAAAATGCACAAATTCAAAGCCAAGGAGACCTCACAGGAACTAGCGTATCCTCAAAACTTCCCATTGCCGTGTACTCGGGCCACATGTGCACGTGGCGCTTTTCTAAGTGCAATCACGTTTATGAGCAACTCCTGCCAGTCCAAAGCTGGGGAACTCACTTCCCGGTTGCTCCATTTAGCATTCAGAGCCAGTTTGACAGCATCTATATCCAAGCATCACAATCAACTAATATAACCACTCAATTCGGCTGTACTACATTAACTGACGTTCTTCAGCGTGGTCAGGTTCTAGAGTACAAAATCCAGTTTCCGAATGGCCTTAACATCATTGCTGACAATGGAATTCAGGTGTTTTTTCTGTTTAATGGTGTGCAAACATCCCACGGTGTCACATGCGGCCCATTTCTGTTAAATCTGCTGCCCAAGAAACATTTCTGTTCTTCATACACCCTTGACGGGATAGCTGGATTTGACAACCGAGCTCTCCTGATTGTTCCTACTAATGAAAAAACGGGGATTATTTTGTCTTTTCCCGGAAGTGTTCAATGGAGGGTTATCAATGGCAGTGACTACTCTTGGACTGAACTGGTTTACCCACCCGATGCAGACAGACACAAAGTAAGCCATCCAAACGCTTCCTTTGTGGTGTACAGTGTGGGCGTAATGCAAGTGAATGGATATGGAGCGCCAGCCCCATGCACCGATCGAGGTATATGTCAATAAAAACACATGTTTTTCCCTTCTGTTTAATAATAATAATAATAATAATAATAATAATAATAATAAAAAAAATCATCAGCATACGTGTGTTGATGGTGTAATGTAGCCAGTTTCATTTACACTTATTTATGTGGCAGACGCTTTTATCCAAAGTGACTTAGCGTTTAAGGAATATATAGGCGTATGCATATTTCTCAGTTCTTGCATTCCCCAGGAATCAAATTCATGACTTTGGCAACTCAAGGAAGCTCTATTGTTTGCATTATAGGAATGAATGATACTTTTTTTTTTTTACTAATAAAATTCATCACGGTTTCATAATGAATTTCTCAAAAGACAATGTTCTTGATATTGTTTGCATTATAGGAATGAATGATACTTTTTTTTTTTTACTAATAAAATTCATCTAATGAATTTAATGAATTTCTCAAAAGACAATGTTCTTGATATTATTATTATTATTATTATTATTATTATTATTATTATGCCTTTTATTTAACCTGCTTGTCCTGCTTAAGATAGGTGGCCTAGTTATACAGATACACGTATAGCAAACACCAATAAAACACAATAAAATATAATTAAAAAATACAGCCTTAGAAGCATTTGCAAATCAATTAATCATTTTCTAGTGCACGCATAAGTGTTTTAAAATTACTGCGACACCTTCTTAATTTAAATTAAGTGTGCTTTCTGAGCTTAAAAACATATACACTTCTTAAATGACTCATTTATGCTGCATAAATAATGTGTACCTTCTGGTTGTTTTTTCTGTAGATGTGCCAACACCTAACACTTGCTTCAACATCATCTGTAGTGAGGATGAGGAGTGCCAGATGAAGGGTCCCTACCCCACCTGTGTGAAGAAGCCAAATGGAATCTGTTGGGCAATGGGCGACCCTCACTACTGCACATTTGACCAGCGTTACTTTGACTTCATGGGCACTTGCACTTATGTTGTCACCAGGAACTGGCAGGAAAATGACAGTCTTCCAGCTTTTGAGGTCCTGGCTAAGAATGAAAACCGTGGTGACACAAGAGTCTCTTACGTGGCACATGTAATTGTGAATTTTGGTGGTATCCTCATCAGCATTGAGAGTTCTCAGCCTGGGAAAGTCAAGGTGAACTTATTATTTATTTTTTTTATTTTTTATTTTTTTTCCCCTCAAAGTAACTCATAGGTAATGATCATGGCATGGTTTTTGTACAAAAGTTTTAGAAAAAAATTTAAGTTTTAAAACATGCTTTGTGAGTATTGATAGTTTTGTCTTAAAATATTTTAACATCTTAAACCTTGCATATCAAGACATTCATTATAATTTATCATTCTATGTATTTTTATAACAATAACAATTAGTTTACTCACTACTTACTCATTGGCCATTTTTCCTCGTTTCAGTGAATCTAATGTGAAGTTGTTAAAGAGGTTTATAAACAATATTGTATCAATATTTTAAGTATGTAGACTTTTGTAAATGTAGATTTATGACAGATTCATTAAATATATTTTCTGAAAACAAATGTTATACTTGGGTTTATACAGTTTGGAGCATGACGGTGTTGAAATGCTAATTGACAATTATTCTGTCACTATGTAATGCGAGTTAATATGGTTTGTGCAGATTGACCAGAGTGTGTGGAGCCTTCCTGTGGTTCTTGATGATGTTGGGGTGTCCATGTTCCAGTCCGGCAGCTTCATCACCATCCTGTTTTCTTTTGGGCTGAGTGTGCAGTATGACTGGGACCACTATCTCATGGTCTCCCTGCCCACTGCCTTCATGGACAAGGTCTCTGGACTCTGTGGCAACTTCAATGGTGATCCTAAGGATGATTTCACTATGCCTTCGAACACCCAGGCTGACAGTGCAACAGAATTTGGCCAGAGTTGGAAAGTTCATAACTTAACATTGGATGAGGGCTGTAGCAATGATGGTTGGAACCTTGGATGTGATGCTGAATCGCTTAAGCAATGGCAGGGTGAAAACTACTGTGGACTCTTAATAATGGCACCATTCAGTCAGTGTCATTCTGTTATTGAGCCACGTATTTACATCCAGAACTGCATGTATGATGTTTGTATGACAGAAGGGCAGAGAAGCTACTTGTGTAAGGTGTTCGAGGTCTATGCAAGTGCATGTCAACATGTTGGGATACAGCTAACCAACTGGAGAGAAGCAGCCAATTGTTGTGAGTAGTTTTACAGATAGTTGTCCAGCATACTTGATATCTTTGTTCAAGATCATGACACCCCCACTCTCTGAATGTCTTCAGCTTACAGATGCCCAGAGAACAGCCATTATGAGTTTTGTGGTAGCGCTTGCCCTTTGACCTGCATGGGCCTCGGGTCTCCTGTGAACTGCACTTTACCCTGTGTCGAAACATGCGCTTGTGATCCTGGTTTTTTTCTGAGTGGATCCAAATGTGTACCTTCAGCCCAATGTGGTTGTTCCTACAATGGACACTACGTTCCCGCTGGTGAGACTTTCTGGGCGGATGATGCTTGTCAGCGGCTTTGTCGTTGCTCCATGGAGGGTGGACATCTAAAATGCCAGGATGGAGGCTGTGGGACAAGACAGCACTGCCAGGTGGAGAATGGCATTAGGGATTGTTATCCCGTCTCTCAAAGCACCTGTATGGCACTGGGTGACCCCCACTACTACACCTTTGACGGGGATCATTTCAACTTCCAGGTACTATTCTATTGGCACGAGAACTGTCACTTTTAAACGCTTATTGATAACTAAAACCTTATTTAAATGAAGCTACAAATAAATATTAAATCAAACTTAAATTAAAATGGTTTTATTTCAAGTTTATTTTAGTTTAGTTTAGTTTTATTTATTTAGTTTATTTATTACCAGGAGATTATTAACACTAATTGCTAAATATTGGAGTATAAATATAAAGTATTAATTGAAAAGCACTATTACTAAAACTTTAATTAAAATGGAAGTATACTGAACCTGAAAACAAAAGCAAAATATGTACTGTATATGCTATAATATACTACAATAAAGTGGTAGGGCCTTTTTTTTTTTTTTTGGTAGTAGTAGATGATTCCATGTCTCTGGATGAGTAACTTTGGTGAACAATTATTTTCTCCCTTCAGGGTAACTGTGTGTATCAGTTGGTTGGGCTTAATGTCTCAGAGCCTGGACTGGTGCCCTTTGATGTGCTGGTGCAAAATGACTTCCGGGGAAGCAAAGTGGTGTCGTTCACTAAATTACTGGAGATCAGAGTGTACAATACCACCATTGTCATTGATAGAGAATACAGCAGTTTTGTTACCGTAAGTTCTAGTTGCATGCTTTAAACATCTAGCAAACTATTTAGTTATATATATATATATATATATCTCTCTATCTATCTCTTTCCATGAAAGTCATTTCATTAATCAAAATGACTTTCTTTTTCAGGTCAATGGTGAGCTGTTGAACCTTCCTCTCCATCTTTTTGAAGGTCAGATTTCTGTTTTCAGAAGTGGCTGGTCTGCTGTCATTCACACCTCTTTTGGTCTCAAAGTCACGTTTGATTGGAACAGCTTTGCAACCGTCACCGTCCCCAGCACCTACATGGGTGCCATCTGTGGCCTCTGTGGGAACTACAATGGAAATCCAGAAGATGATCTGACTGTCAGAGGAACGGCATTACCTGCTTCAGGACCGATGAAGTTCGGTGCCAGCTGGAGTGTAGCCGAGATCCCAGACTGTGTCCATGGCTGCACAGAGAGTTGTCAGGATTGCGACCCGACCAGAAGGAGTGTCTATGAGACGTCTGATTTCTGTGGTCTGCTGCGTGACCCACAGGGGCCTTTCAAGGACTGTCAAACTGTGTTGAACCCTGCTCAGGTTTTTGAGGATTGCGTTTATGATGTCTGTTTGTATAATGGAAGGAGAGATCTATTATGCCAGGCCATAACGGCATATGTATATGTCTGTCAGGCAATGGGAAGGACCATCAGTCCTTGGAGAACTGCTGAATTCTGTGGTGAGAAACCTGGGGAAAATTGTACCTATACCTTTTTGAGAAACCGTATTGGCTACATAGCAATATTTTGTCCATATTTAAGAGGTTTTGTAGGAGTAGTGGTAAACTTTCAAGACCCTCTTGTTCCATTTATTTCTACAAAGTCCTTGAAGTGATAGTTCACCCAAAAATGAAAATTTGATGCTTATCATCTTACCCCCAGGGCATCCAAGATGTAGGTGACTTTGTTTCTTCAGTAGAAAACAAATGAAGATTTGTAACTCAAACCGTTGCTGTCTGTCAGTCATATAATGGAAATGAATGGAAATCACGGCTTTGAGAGTCAAAAAAAAACATACACAAACAAAACCAAATTAAACCCTGCGGTTCGTGACGATACATTGATATGTAAAGACACGAAACGATCTGTCTGTGCATTACCGCCACCTATCTCTCAAATGGACCATTGACACTCTATCTACAATCTCAATTAGGAGTGTCAATGGTCCATTTGAGAGATAGGTGGCGGTAATGCACTTATAAGTCTGCAATCCACCGTAAAGCAAGAAGACGCGTCACGTGCCGGCTGTCGAGGACGCGCTCAGGACAGTTCAGACATTTGCAGTGCATCAGAGGTAAAAAAGCCATGATTTCCATTCACTTCCATTATAAGACTGACAGACTGCAACAGTTTTGGTTAAAAACCTTAGTTTGTGTTCTATATTTTCATATATGAAGATCTATTTAAAAATATGGCCTGCAGTAGAAAGAAATCATTGGGATTTATAACATGATTTGAGAACTTGTAAATTGATTTTTTTTTTTTGTTTTTTTTTTTTGTTTGTTTTTTTGTTTTTTTTTTCCCTTTTGAATTTTTCTGTGGACCCCAATTTGATGAACCCCAATCAAGCCCACCATTGATTACCAGAGTTCATAGTGGCATTTCTACTAGTTCTTGCTTGACCTCTTAATTGTTTTTAGAATTCGAATCAGGACTTAACCCATCACATGTCTTTGTTTTGTCAGGTGTTCAGTGTCCTGTCCACAGCCACTATGAGCTCTGTGGCTCTGGTTGTGAAGTCACCTGTCATAGTTTGGCTCCTCCCACTGGCTGTCGTAGCCCCTGTATGGAGGGCTGTGTGTGTGACGAGGGCTACATCAGGAGTGGGGACCGCTGCGTCCCCTTCTCTCAGTGTGGGTGTCTCTATGGCAACCGCTACTACTTGCTTTACCAACGGTTCTATCCTGGCAGTAACTGTGAGCAGGTGTGCACTTGTTTACCGGATGGCCAGGTATGAAGACGCACTAAAGTGAGGCTGTATTTCGGTTGGATTTGATTTGTGCTTGTTTTAAAGGTGTCATATGATGCGTTTTCATGTTTTTCTTTTACTTTAGTGTGTTTTGTAGCTGTTTGTGCATGTAGAGATCTGCAAAGTTACAAAGCTCAAAGTCTCCCACAAAAGGAATTTTTCTATCTAAAAGAAGGCTGATCCAGACTGCCCGAAAATGCCTTTATTAAATTCTCCCTCACATATCTACGTCACTGTGGAAATAGTTGCATAATACCACCCAAATGGATACACAAAGAAGGCATGGTTTCAGGCATATGAGCGACATTTGACTCTTGAGTCGGGGGGCAAGAAAAAAAAAATAAAAATAAATTAAATAAAAATACATTTAAATTTTAAATAAAAACAAAATGTTTTTTCGGATGCAGAAAATGCCTTTATTAAATTCTCCCTCACATATCTACGTCACTGTGGAAATAGTTGCATAATACCACCCAAATGGATACACAAAGAAGGCATGGTTTCAGGCATATGAGCGACATTTGACTCTTGAGTCGGGGGGCAAGAAAAAAAATAAATAAATAAAAATAAATAAATAAAAATAAATTTAAATTTTAAATAAAAACAAAATGTTTTTTCGGATGCAAGCATCAAAACAATGCCCTACCGTATTGCAATGCATCAAAGCAGTCAATCCAACACAGTCAAGAATAACTTAAAGAGGTTGCCACCGTTTAGTAAACTGAACTAGCTTTGGCTCTTGCTGCTGACTTGAATGGTGTGCCATTGTCACTTGAAATGTTTCCGTTTTTGAATAGTTACCAAAGGCGAGACACGTGAGGAAAAAATAAACGATCAGTTGTGGGACTATATTCTGTCATAAATCGCATACCATTCATTGCTGAACTTTCTACCGTCCGTTACTGGAAATTAAATGAAATTACTGGTTGATCTGTCCCGATCTCAAAGTTTACACATGCTTTTGGTCCGTGAATTAAATCTCGCTCGGGACGCATGCTGTCTGTGGAGGTTTGGCCAGGACTGGTTCCAGAATTAAATCACCATATTTTGTTCCATCCATTGCCAATCACTGCTGTTTCGAGAGTGAATCCAGCATAAGTATGCAGATGTCTTTCCCGAAACTTTGCAGGGTGTAGCCTATGTGTCCGAAGAACGAAATTTTCATACAAATTCTGAATGGATTATACCCTAGAAAGTGCGCAAAGCGCGCTCCCTTTATCACTAAAAAGCATCACTCATCTTCGTTCATGGCAGTCTTACAAAGTTACATTATAATCAATGAAGCTCTCTAAACTGCACAATGAATCTCTTATTTACATTGTGTCTGCACTTAATCATGAGATGATTCATGAGCGTGCAAAACTGCACTTAAAAACTGCGGCGCTTTCAGCGGTGAGTGAATTCTGACAAAACGTTTCTGATTGGCTATTGCGGTCATGAAATCAACAGATATGTCTGTGATTGGTTACATTGCTCAACGCTGCATTCAAGCATGCTAACATATTCTATTATACCCAGTACACAAAATAATGAGCTTTGAAAATAGCATCATATGACCCCTTTAAGGAATCGGTCTCATATGACTGATTTCTGTGTTTCTCAGTCATATGAAAATTTTATTTCATTGCTCTTTTGAAATGAGTTCAGTCTGTTCTGTTTATAACATGTATTGTTTTTGTTTTTTTTACTTGTGTCCAATGGTAAATATGGCAATTTTTTTATTTATTTTTATTTTTTTTTTTAGTATTGAATTTTCAAATTGTGTAATAGCCTTCTGATGACAGCTTCATTTCTTGATGCTAGTTACTGAAGTTTAATGCAATGCTTTTCTTTCCACAGGTGGTCTGTAGTAAGTTGTCTTGTGGCCCCTATGAGAGGTGTGAGTTGATGGACGGCGTTCGCAGATGCCAGCCAATTGGGCAGGCCATTTGTGAAGCTTCTGGAGACCCACACTATGTGTCCTTTGATGGGATGCGCTTTGATTTTCAAGGCACCTGTACCTATATTCTGTCCCAAACCTTTGGCCTGGAATGGACCAACCTGACCCCTTTCTCCATCCAGGTGGAGAATGAGAGATGGTGGCCCAATAGTTATCAAAAAGTCTCTGTTACCAAGCAAGTGGCTTTAACCGTCTACGGCAGCACCATCATCTTAAGACAAAACGAGCCCCAGATCTTGGTTAGTGCTGGTTTGTCTGCATTTTTTCTTCAATGAAGCTTCCATAATACCTGATGATATGCTTTTTTTTTTTTTTAAATTGTTGTTGAATTATTGTATGACCCTAACACTACACCATTCCCACAGATCAGTGGGGTTCTGACTAATCTTCCATACAGTTCAAACAGTTTAAATGGCTCCTTGGTCCAGGCCTATAAGGACGGCGTTAACTATGTCATCAAGACTGGCTTTGGTCTCAAAGTAACCTATGACCTGTCTTACTATGTCACTGTTACCATCCCTGGCAACTACCGCCACAAAACCTGTGGACTCTGCGGCAACTTTGACGGAGACCCTTCCAATGACTTTAGGCTGCCAGACGGCAATGTTACACAGGATGTGAATATATTCAGGAGAGCCTGGAAAGTGCATGTTCCCGGAGTGGTGTGTGAGGACGGATGTGAAGGCGACGCATGTCTGGACTGTAATCCTCGACTGAAAGCTGTCTTTGAGAAGCCTCCCTACTGCGGAGTTCTGGTTGACCCCAACGGGCCGTTTGCCGCCTGTCATACTGTGGTTAACAGTTCAGCTTATCTGAATGATTGTGTCTTTGATGCTTGTGCTTCTGACGGCAACAGCAAGGTGGTTTGTGACAGTGTGGCGAGATATGCTTTTAGTTGCCACACAGCTGGGGTCGGTATCCAAAACTGGAGGACAGACTCTTTTTGCCGTAAGTGTTTAGATATTTAGTGATAATTATCTATCACTCTCTGAAACTTAAGTGACCTTTTTTTTTTTTTCTTCTTCTCTAATTCACTGTATTCCAGCAATGTCATGTCCCACTCACAGTCATTATGAGCTGTGCTCAGACGTCTGCTCTGCTGCCTGCCCTGGTCTGACTGCAATAGTCCAGTGTTCCAAAACCTGCGCAGAGGGCTGCACTTGTGATAATGGTTATCTTTTTGATGGCCAGCAGTGCGTTGAACACCAGCAGTGTGGGTGCTATGATCAGGGACACACGTATAAGGTGGAGTGATGGCTTTGAGTTTACTGTAGGGACTTTGGGTGTGTGTGCATCTTAGCTTTTCTGAGAGTGTCCATCTGCATTGCTTTGCATTCTCACATTGTGTTTTCAGGCTGGAGAGGTGGTTTACCTGGGCAACTATAAGCAAATGTGTCGGTGTGATCCTGGGAAGGGACTTACCTGTGAGGGTAAGATGTTACTGAAGGCAAAGGGTGTTGCTTTAGTCTATTATTAAATGGGAGATTTTGTGTTCTGTTTCTTCTCGCTGTTTCTGTTTACAGATCCTTGTCGAGACCTCCACTGTCGTGAGAAAGAGACATGCCGCTTTGAACGTGGCAAGGCTGTGTGTGTGCCCCTGTACAGCAGCATGGGGTGCTTGGCATGGGGTGATCCGCACTACCACACCTTTGATGGCTACAAATATGACTTCCAGGGCACCTGCAGATATGTCTTGTCTAAGACCTTTGGGAATCTGAGTGGACTGGTGCCCTTCTCAGTAACACAGAGCAATGAAAACCGTGGCAACCCTGATGTGTCTTATGTGCAAGAGGTGGAAGTTACTGTATATGGCCAAACTCTAAGCTTAGTGAAGCACCAGATGGGACAGATCATGGTAACGAGTCACTTAATTTACAGAGGTTTTCACTAATATTGTAAAGATTCTCACTTCATTTTGTTTTTTTTTTTTTTTTTTTTTTTGGTTTTTTTTTTTTTTTTTTTTTTTTTTTTTTTTTTTTTTTTTTTTTTTGGTTTGGAAAAGTATTTTTATGCAAGTGTATTGAGTGTTTGAATAAGATTATTATTATTTTTTTTTTTTTTAAGTATAACATTGTCAAATATTTTAAACATGTTTCAGCAAGAATTGAAAATGGTTGCTTTATCTCAATATTTTGATGACTTTTGTCCCTGTAGTACATTTTATACAAAACCAATTTGCAAAGTTTTTTTGCAAAAAGTATTTACGATGTTTCAAATATATTTTGCCCAATTGTAATTTCTGTTTTGGGACTTTTTCATATCTGAAAATGTTATTCCTGCACTTGAATCAGACATTTCCATTTAAACAGCCTCGTTATGTTAATGATTCTGACTTTCCTCTGTCAGGTGGATGGTTTACGGTTTTATCTTCCATTTGATCTTCATGATGGCCGTGTGAGGGTGCGACAGAGTGGCAATGCTGCTCTGTTGGAAACCGACTTTGGTCTGCGTGTCTCTTTCAACTGGAACTCAAGGGTTCACCTGCATCTGCCCAGTAGTTACTATGGAGTTGTGTGTGGCCTGTGTGGAAATTTCAACGGTAATGGTGAAGATGAGCAAAGAGACCCTTCTGGAAACCTTCTGCCAAGTCTGTACCAGTGGGCAAAGAGCTGGAGAGCAGAAGACAGTGTCACATCTGCGTGTCATGATGGCTGTGAGACCGACTGCCCTGTTTGCTCTCGTGACCTACATGCCCTCTATGAAACGGATGCTTTCTGTGGTGTCCTGACATCAACAGGCCAGAGTGTCTTTAGTGCATGTCATGCTAAAGTGAACCCACAGGCGTTCCAGCAAAGCTGTGTGTATGATCTGTGCTTCAATAACGGAGACCGAAGACTTCTCTGTCAGGCTCTGGAGACTTATGTCGAACTGTGTCATCAAGAGGGTGTCATCATTACAGATTGGAGAGGGATATTCAGTTGCTGTAAGTTTGAAATGCTCATAGTGCACATGTTTGTTTCCTTAAATTTAACCATGAACCTCTTGTTCTTCAACAGCTATGAGCTGCCTGCCCAACAGTCATTATGAGGCCTGTGCGTCTCCGTGTCCAGCAACGTGTCCGTACCCAAATCAGCAGCTAAATTGCACAGATACCTGTGTGGAAGCCTGTGTGTGTGACAGCGGATTTGTCCTCAGCGCTGGCACTTGTGTGCCCACCAATCAATGTGGCTGCTTCTACAAAGGCGCTTACTACCAACAAGGCCAAACTTTCTGGGCTGATGAAAAGTGTCATCAGCTTTGCAAATGTGACCAAAGTTTGGCTGTTGTGTGTCATGAATCGTCTTGTGCCCCTGATGAGAGCTGCTTGGTCATTAATGGAAGTCGCGGCTGTCATGCAATGAGCTCTGCCGTATGTGTAGCGGCAGGAGACCCACATTACAGCACATTCGACGGACTCCATTTTGACTTCCAGGGCACATGTGTGAATCAGTTGGCAGCCCTATGCATTGATAAAGATGGTCTGGTACCTTTTAATGTGACCATTCAGAATGATCATCGTTGGAGCAGCGCAGTGAGTGTCACCAAGATGGTCAATGTGACAGTGAAAGGGTTCACCATTACATTGACCAGCGAACATCAGTATCAATTACTGGTGAGTACGGTCACACAATATACACCTTATACACACTAGTAGGACCGAGAACCGTTCTTATTCAGAACTAGTTTCATCAAGACAAAAACTGATGTTTGGTTATGTTTTTGGTTCACACACTTGTTTACAGTATTTTAGCATGGAATATCATGTTAAAATACAGTTTGCTGTGCTACTCTACCGTGGCACGGTCAATATCATGCTGTTAGTAGATGGTGTTATGACACTGCTGAAGTCTTATTGCTAATGACATTCGTGAGGTGGCTCTTTGAAGTGAATCAACTATAAAACAATTTCACATACAGCTTGAAACTTACTGATACATTTAGTGGGAAAATTGGCCTAAAAATTGCACACCAAGCGCCAAGTCTCAAATTTGTATTGAGAACAGTTTCAACAAAATGGAAGGTCTCCCAGTGGTTTTCCACTAAAATAATAGCTCAGTGGTTTAAAGGTGAAGTATGTTTCTGCTCTGCTAGTATCTCTTAGAGAAATTACAAAAATAAAGAATTTTCAAACCACCTTTGCAAAGACCCGTTTCAAGTGTTGTGCCTCCCCCTTAGACGTTACAATCTCCGCTCTCACGGGTCTATAAAACTGGAGGCATGTCTCTGTAGGTAAAAGTAGGCTGCTTTCAATAAAAGGTCCAACATATCAGCTTACCCATCAAGAAGGAAACTACAAGTTTGGCATCTCAATTAAAACCCAGTTTTTACCCTTGTTTTTACCCAAAATATAGTCTGTCTCTATCTTGGTTAGTCTTGGAATTTTAGCTTGCACTTCTGCAAGCGAATATTGGCTAATTTTCTTTTTCTCTTGTAACACATCAACCATGGTCCAAAAATAGGCCAATTTACTTTTTCCTCTTGTAACGCATCAGCCATGGTCCCATACCGGCTAAACACCCGCTGGATCAGCCTGCTACAGTATCAAACTCTCGCTACTGGTCGAGTTGGAAAGTGATTGACAGATTTGAGCGGACTGATCTCTGATTTGATGGTGCCCAGGAGGCTCAGTGTTCGTACTTTTAGGGAGATAAATCCATGAATGGTACACTTGGTGGTCAATGAGCAAACTTGGTTAAAGGGGGTAGTTCACCCAAAAATTACTCACCCCCACGGTTTCCCAAACCTGAATGAATTTTTTTCCTTCTTTTGAACACGATATTTTGAATGTTAATCAAACAGATGCCGGTAGCCATTGATTTCCATATATATTTTTTTTTCTCCATACTATGTAAGTCAGTAGCTATCATTAACTATTTTAGTTACATTCTTCAAAATATAATTTGTTAAACTGGAGAAGAAAAAAACGTTTCTAAAAAAACAAATTTAAATATTTGAAGCATTACCAATATTAATAGATGCTCAACCTGCAATGCGACCCAGAGGGAGAACGCCCAGCGCTACTGTGAGATCATCACAAACCGGACAGGGCCTTTCAGAGAATGTCATGCGCAGATTGATCCCAGATCTTACCTAGAGGATTGCATATTCGACACCTGCCACTTCCAAGGACATCAGGTTGTGTTGTGTGACGCAGTGGCAGCCTATGCATCTGCTTGTCAGAGTCAAAATGTCACGGTTCACCCGTGGAGAAATGCCACATTCTGCCGTAAGTAACTACTATTACTTTTTCTTTTTTGGTTGTCCGCTACATAAAGCTTGTTTTGAAAACCTGAGCTCTTGGTGTGTGTGTGTGTGTGTGTGAATTTTTTTTTATTTCAGTATTTTTATTTGTATTTCAGTTTTAGTTTTAGTAAGTAGTTTTTCCTTTTTTTCGGTTTCTGTTTTTTTTTCTGTTTTATTTCTATTAATTTTTTTATTTCAAATACCGAAAGAAAAAAATGTTTTAGTTAACATTTATGCATTTGGCAGACACTTATCCAAAGCGACTTCAAGGTACACATTTGATCAATTCCTGTTTTTTCCTGGGAATCGAACCCATGATCTTGGCATTGCTAGGGCCATGCTCTAATGTTAACAATAACAACACTGTTCAAAGGACAAAAACTGAATGAAATAAAAATGAATACTGTCTCTGATCTATCACAGCTCCATCCTGCCCACCCAACAGCCACTACAACCCCTGTGCTCCAGGCTGTACCGAGACCTGCATTAATCTCTCTGTGCACAACTGCAGCAGACACTGTGCTGAGGCCTGCCAGTGTGATCGGGGTTACATCTTGAGCGGCCAAACCTGTGTGCCACAAGCAGAATGTGGCTGCTTCTATCGGGGACGCTATTATAACAAACACCAGATGTTTTACACCCATGAGCAATGCTTAGAGCGCTGCGTGTGTGGGCGAAATGGAACGGTTTCCTGCCAGAAATCAAGTTGTGCTCCAGGAGAAGCTTGCAGGGTGGTGGATGGAGTATTGGGATGCCACCCTGTCAGTTATGGAAGATGTGTGGTGACTGGTGACCCTCACTATTTTTCTTTTGATGGCAGAATTTTTGACTTTCAAGGCACGTGTGTTTATACACTCGCTAAGGTATTTGATCAGGGCAAAGGATGGCTGGTTAATTTTTCTGTGGACTCCAAGAATGAGCAGATTGGAAACCGAGGGGTTTCTCTCGTCAAGACCTTGACTGTGACTGTTTACAACCTGACAATCAGCATCAAACGAGGTGAACGCTGGAGAGTCATCGTAAGTCTTTGCCTCAGATTGTTTTTTTTGTTTTTTTTGAGTAAGAAATTGTACATTTTATTCAGCAAGGATTAAACTGATCACTTATATTAAATTGTCCTTTTTATTCAACAAATCTTAATGTGTATATATCAGTTTCCACAAAACTATTAAGCTGATCAGCTGTTGTCAACACAAATATATAGAAAAAAATTTGTATCTTGTGACAAGACTGGAGTAATGGCTACTGAAAATTCATCTTTGCCATCACAGGAATACATTTTTTAAATATTAAAAATATAAGTTTATTTCTTAGTAATTTCATAATTACCAACTCCAAACTTTTGAACTGTACACGTGTGTATATACTGCAGTACAGTATAATATTGTCTTAACTTTTACATATTAAGAAATTAACAAGTTGGTTACTTGTTAATTTCTTTTGTATACGTTAAGAAAATCTTGGGGAAAAATGCATAATGGACGTGGCGATGATGATAATAATAGAAAAATTAAGATGAAATGTTGCTGCTGGTTCTCTTTGACAGGTGAACAATGAATTTGTCACCCTCCCTTCATCTTTTGGCCATCAAGTCACCATTAACCAGGTTGGTCAAAGTGTCCAAGTGCAAACCGATTTTGGCTTGAGAGTTCTGTATGACGCCAGTTACCACGCAGAAGTCCATGTACCCTCAAACTATCAAGGCCACATGTGTGGACTGTGTGGAAACTACAATGGCAACCCAGCAGATGACTTCTTGTTGCCCAATGGCACACAAAGCACCAGTGTCGATGCATTCGGACAGGCGTGGGCATTGCCAGCAACTGGTGTTCAGAGCGGAGTTGGAAGTTCCCCGCAGCAGTGCGATCAGACCAAAGCTGAGAGTTACCGCAGAGATGATGCCTGTGGCCTTATGGCAGCTGTCACTGGTCCCTTCAGTGCCTGTCGTGATCGAGTGAATCCTGAGCAACATGTGATTAACTGTGTATTTGACATGTGTGTTATGGATGGAGACGGAGCGATGCTGTGTGAAAATCTTCAGGCTTATGCCATTATTTGCCAACAAGCCGGTACACAAATCATGCCATGGAGAAATAGTTCATTCTGTCGTAAGTTAAGCCTTTTGATTTTTTTTTTTTTGTTTGTTTTTTTTCCTTGTTTTTACATTGAAACTTAAGTGTTTTGAGCACCAATTTGGCATATTAGAATGATTTCTGAAGGATCACGTAACCGAAGACTATTAATGGCTGCTGAAATTTCAACTTCACCATTTTAATATTTTAAAATGCAGATGACTCCTGTAATTGTGAAGTAATTTTAAACTGTAATATTTCAAAATATTTAAGTTTTAAAACAATTGCATATATATTTTTTTTATTATTATTATTTTTTTAATAACCGCATGTTGCCTTTTTTATTTTTAATTTTTTTTAAAGCGGTGGACTGTCCAGCTAACGGTCACTATGCACAGTGCTCTAATAACTGTGCCAATACATGTGCCAGCCTCAGCAGGACCATTAACAACTGCCCAGATATTTGCATGGAAGGCTGTCAGTGTGATGAAGGTTGGCTCTCAGATGGTGACGCGTGTGTGCCTGTGGGAGACTGTGGATGTGTCCATAATGGCAAATACCTAAAGGTGAGATTTAATGCTTTTCATAAATATCGATAATGATTGAATGATAAAAATGATTACGGTCTAATATAAGCTGCTTTGCGACTTTTTTTTTTTACTTTTGCCAGACTTTAGAAGTTCTGATTCTCCTAATTAAATGGCAGCCATTCTAGATGCCTTTTTCAGAATTATTTCATGAATTATTTCCTTAAATCCATTGTTTAGAATATTTTTACTAACGTAAAACATTGTTCAAGCTGAAATGCACTATTTCTGCAGAATGATA